ATTCTAACACAACCGGCAAACGTGCTAATAGAAATCCACTGCCCGACGTCCAGTTGGAGAGATTCTGGCCCAAAAAGAACAGATGGAGCAAATCGTTCCCGACAGTTCATCCTTGAAGGACGCTGGAACAAATGTCACGTCCTCAGTGCCCTCCTCACCAAGAAGACTAACGACTCATTTATTCCAGAGTCAGATTTAATTCCAAAGCACTTTCTGAAACAATGGCGTATAAAGCTGTATAATTAAAAAAGGAGCAGTGATACAACGCTCCATTCAAAAGTTACTGGACTTTGATATAAATGACGGCAGCAGAGCAAGTTTCTAACATTAAGTAAAACTTTTTGGGCATTTTTCGGTTTTCCCATTCCCGCCTGGATTTACGAACCTCTTAAACTCCCTGCAGACTTCCTCATTTCAGCTATTTTCAGTCTTTTCATAAATATTTGAGAACCCGCATACGAGTTGGAAAAGAATTAGAATATGCATCACAACAGGAGTGTCTGACCAAAACTGGAGCAGTACATGTTTTCTGCCACCGGGGGGCAGTGTGGCCAAGTTCGCAAACGCGTTTTTTTGTGTCGTAGCAATGTCCGTAACATTAGCTAAGCTTTGCATCTTCCTGCAAGAGTTTATTCAGATTCTCTGTCTTCTTTTTTACTTTTTAAGGGCTCAACTGTTAAAGGGTCAGGAGCCCATTGCAGTACGAAAAACCAATAATAATTATTTATGAGTCCCGATCTTTGCCGGTTATCCCTGAACAAACAGTGACCACGTTCACCTAATAATGGCCCTTCGCAACCCTGACTTTTTTAGTCGTTAAATGGCATGAAAACGAGTCCCTCTCCTGGGCTTGGTGGACAGAGTCCATCAGACGAGACGGCTTGTTGCTCTTTTCCTCAGTTTTGAGCTACAGAATGATGGATTTTCGAGCCTAGATCCACCTCGAGCCGCCCTTAATTAGCCCTTTAAAGCCTGATCCAAGAAAAAATAGGAAGAATATTGGATTTCTTTTAGTCTGAAGTCTTTCTTTGGCCCCTCAACAACATATGAAGAAAAAAAATTGAAATAATTTTGATCAAATTAGCATGCAATAAGTCAAATATGTGTTTTGGTGTAGTCTTCTACTGGCTGTTATCAGGTATATCTGAATGTGTACAACAGGGGTTTGAGCAAAGCTTTTACCACTGAATGATGCAAAAGGTCTCAGATCCAAAAGACTTCAGAAACCGGATCTATCAAATATGTCACATTTGGCATTATAGGGCTAAGAACGATTACTTAGACGAGACGTTTGTGTGCGGTCAGATGTTTGGGGCCACTTCTGTGAGCAGGCCTCTGTAGGTTAATTAATCTTCTCTCTAACTGAAGAACGATCTGAATTTGTGGAGATTGTTCATATTTGTTTTTCAGCTGGTGTGGGTTTAAATGGGGCCGTTTGTGTTTCGTAAAACAAGCGATTGGCAGAAGATGCGATTGTTTTGAGCAAACTCCCAATTCCGATCTTTTTCTGTTTGTCCGCTTAATTTGATTTGTGGCTAAACACGATCAGAATTAAGATTTCATCAGCCGGTCCGGGGACGGCTCATTTCCAAAGGTGATGAATAAACATCATTTACTCCATGACGATTGATAAAAATTTGATGAGGGGCCGTGTTCGAGCTCCGCTCCTGCATTTCTCATGAATGCGTCTGTTTGGAGCAGAAATGTTTGTGCTCATAACATCTTTTAAGAGCTTACACGTGCATTTTTAATGTCCTCGCTGGTTCTATTGTATCAGACAAAACGAAACTCCCCCCCAGTGTTTGCGACATTTGCTCTACACAATGCTTACCCAACGAAGTAGGCATCTACAGGCAACTCCCAAGGAGCTATTTGTGAATTTTAGATCTCTTTTTTTTTTACTCTGCGAGCCGACTGAGCACAGGTACGACTCTTCCCCGGTAACTTATCATACAGCTTTTCTTAGTTCTTCTCCGGTTCCCCCTTAAACGCCCCGACACACCGATGCTCCTGATTTGCCACTCCGCTGAACCCGAACCGTGACATTTCCTCAGATTCCCACCCCTGCTCAGCTTGCCATGTCTCGTAGCGTCTCTAAATATAACCGAGCATGTCTACCTCCTCTCTCCATCCTCTTCCTCTTCCTCTTTCTGCCTCCTCCTCCTCCTCACCTCGGTCCCGGCTGACAAATTTTTAGGCGTAGACGATCCGATCCGACGTGACTCCACATAACGATTCAATCCGCGGCACCTTCCACCTTCCACCTTCCACCGGGACCCGGAGGTGTGTTATTGCCTCGGATGCAACTCTCTACATCCCTCCAGGACGAACAGGCTCGGCTTATTATTACATCCGTGCAACCAAAGACTTCCCTTCTCGCATTTTGAATGCGTGAGATGTGTTGTTTTTTTTACCGAGTCAGCACGGCTGAGAACAGAGAGATCAGATGTGACCTTAACATTACCGTCACACACACACACACACACTGGAGGGAAGACGGAGGCCTGTAGTCGCAGTAAAAAAAAAAAAAAAAAAAAAACAGATGTAGGCAGGAAGCAGGAAGACCAGGGAAAAGTAAATCTCGAGTAATAACCTAAAAGATCTACGAGACTTGCCGGCGTTATGCCGCCGCACACCTCGGTCCTCTAGCCCGGTGATTTATCTTTAGCCTGCCGATAAAGCTGAACATGGAAATGTCATGTGTGGGGAGAGGGCTGGCCTCAACCCCCCCCCCCCCCCCCGGGAGCAAGCCCATGCACCATTAAGAAGGTCCGGATTCATTAAACTGTCGGTGTAAATTCTGATCGGTGGAGGGGAAGCAGCAGGAGCAAATGCAGCAGAGTTGGAGGAGGTGGAGGAGTAGAATGACGGGGGGGGAAATAGAAAGAAGGCACGCTCGTAGTGACACCCCGAAGAAGGAGGGAAGGTGATGGTCCTGCAGATGAAAGCCGAGAGCCTTTTCCGGAAACGGTTCGGAAGACCGACGACCGGAATGAAATGGGACGTTAATGGAAAAAAACAGGAGTCGAGGCACGATTTTATCAAGGGAGGAAAATCACTATCAAGTGAACAGCGCAGATGAAAGCAGGGGGAGTTTAAGCTTAAGAAGATAAACCTTAGCTTTTGCCATCTGTAAGATTTTAGCCGTGCACGCCTGGGAAAATGTGTACCGTTACTCAGAGTGATTCAAACTGATGAGAGAGTAAAGTGAGAGAGAAATCTATGGCTTGTTTCCTAATCCATCATGGTTGATATTACCCCTCAAGCCTCTGTCTGCTGTTGCCGAACTCATAATTAATCCTAATAACCCTGTTTTTAAAAAAGGGGATGATGTAAAGACGCTGCTGTGACAAAGATCCGCCCCCTCAGAGCTGCAGAAAAGCAGCAAAAGCCGGGAAAAGGCAGCGGACGTAAATAAAAGTGGCAGCCCCTCGGGTGTCTTTCTCCCTGAATAACCTGGGAGTTGTGAAGAAGTCACTAATTACCCCTCCCACGAGAGATAAGAGTCAGGCCAGTCACACTTGCACCCGGAATTAGTGCACGCAGGCCTGTGAGTGTCAGGGGCTATAACGAGCAGATAACAAGGAACAAATCCATAGATCCTGAGAGGCAAACGACAGCTCCGTGCCTGATCTACCAGAAACACAGACAGGAAGAGGAAGGGGATATGTGCGTGTCAAAAACAAGCCACAGAACGAGAGTGACGAGAGCAAACTACTGACCGCGGCATGGCGGACAGACTGTCGCAAAGTGACCAGATGAATCAGAGAGGATGTCATCAGGGACTGATAACAGGGCCACAGACTATTAAAACATGGAAAAATCTGCAAGACGCATACGCACACACGGGGGATTAAGTGAAACACTGTGTTCCCGGGAGCTGGAGAACCTCACCACAGAGCCACCTTTAACAATAGCTACTGAGAGAGAGGAAATCAAACAGACATGAAATATAAGTATACCCCTCAGCCAATATGAATAGGCCTTAATTACAATCCATTTTCACTTGTTTTGAGTGTATATTTCTCCAATTCTTAGGCCCTGCTCTCATGTAATTCAAAATATCTGGTTATCTTAGATCTCCCTCTTTATCACGAGGAAGAAGACGCGGTGCTATAATGGCAATGCAATAATGTGGAAACAGTTACAGTCTCTTACTCCTTCAATTTCTCTCTGTGTTTTTCTTCACTTTTTAGGAGCTAACAGCCTCTGCAGCCATGAGAAAATGAGCCACTGAGGGAAGAGCGGACCAAAGAAAGAGAAGGACGAAAATAAAAAAAACCGAGAGAGGCCAAAAAGAAAAGTTTTAAAAGACAGGCCATTATGGGGAAGTACTGGAGCCAATCCCGGGCCTTGGCTGTTCGATCCCCTGAGGGCTCAGGGGACAAAGCAGGTGGAGAAAAGGGAGCTGCCAAGTAGATGAGCCAAAAAATGGACAGAATGCATTCCTGACCTGTCTGATTTGCATTTAATGTCTCCGGCCTTGTTAAGGGTTCATCTTCCTGGAAGGTTAAATAGAAATGGGAATAGATGGCAATATTGCACAACTCCAGAGGGGCATGAAACAGCACGGACAGTTAAAGAATATTTGATGCTGCATATTTTTTACTTTTGTACAAGTTAAGGTAAAAATCCATAGTTTCTGCAGAGGTTATCATCAAGCAATGGTGAGCTCCTAAAACACTGTTTTAAATTTGTGTGCTTGGTATCGCTTCACCTTGACCTGGGGACAGAGTAGTTTGTCCTGTCTTGAGGACAATCTTTAATGCAAATGAGGATGTACAGATAAACTATAACGGCTATACACAATCCTACTAAGGGACTACTATGAATCGGTCCATTCTTGGACGATACTGACACTCTGTCGATGAATTGTATGGATCTCTCGTTGTCGTAATGAACAGATAGTAATGGAGAGATCGCTTTCGTTGTTGACGAGCTGAAAAAGACGAGCCTTTTCGAAACTGGTGGATGGTGGGGGGAGGAGAGAGGGCGGAGAAATGGTGAGCAAAGAGCCCAACCACCCGCTCACCGGCCAGGCCAACGGCAAGAGCGCCTTGGCGGACAAGCTTCCGGGCGCCATGACGGTCCGCTCGGTGCTGCTCAACCGGGACTCGCCGGACATCGAGAGCCGCCTGAAACGCCGCCGAAACCGCACCCACCAGGTGCGCTTCAAGGACCTGGAGGACGGCAGCAGCAGCAGCGGAAACAGCGGGACGGGCGAGAACAACGGCCACCCGAGGCCCTCCGCGGACCCCCTCCGGAAGCCGGGCGGCGGGCGTCCGCAGCCGTGGGCCGCCGGGTCTATCGCCGACGGCCTGCCGGGCCAGACCTCGGTGGTGGGGGCGGTCCGCGGGGACATGGCCAGCACCATAGAGAAGGTGGCGGCGTTCCTAGCCCGGGCGCCGCCTCACCCGCTGACGCCCGGCCCCACGCGCCGCTGCTGGGCGCCCCCGCAAGCTAACTCCCTGACCTTACCGATGACCAGGAGGCCCAGTACCAGCACCAGCACGGGCATCCAGACCTCCCCGTGCCTCCGGAAACACCAGGCGCTTTCTTCCGCCCGAACGGGGAGTCACAACGTCGGGGACTCGGTCGGCGTGGACGGGGACGACGAACACGACTCCCAAGACGAATACCTGACGCACAACCACGTGTCGCTGCCCGGGTCCAGAGATCAGAGCAGACCAACGACCCCGGTGGACAGAACCGTGGTGGAAAGGAGGTCCAAAGCAACGAGGGCCGACTGTAAGTCGGCCGTGACCGTCAAAAGCTCCAGACACAGCTGCCCGCCTTCCGTCCTCCACATCGGCGAGCCTCGCCACTGCTCGTCGGTACCCAGCCGAGAGGGCGCCAAGCGGCCAGGGAGCAGCACGCCCGCGGTGGTCCGGAGGAGAAAAAGACTAAACAGAACATCGAGCGATCCCGGAAAGGAGGTGCACTACTGCACCACCCCCACACAGACTGACAGCCCGTGTCCATCCCCCCCGCCTTCGAACGCCAAACTCTGTACCACACAGGTCCAAACCGAGAGCCCTTTCCAGCCCCCGGACTCAAACTCAAAGTACCACACTGCCCAAAGCCAAACTGAGAATCAACACCGGTCGCCAGCTTTGAGCGAGGAGCAACGCACAACCCAAGTGGAAACCAACAGTCCTTCTCCGGCCCTACCTCCAGCTGTCCAGCCCTGCGATTCCCAGACGCAAAAAGACTCTCCCGGTCACTCCCCTCCGAATCGAGAGCCTGGCACCCCCCCACCTTCGCCCGCATCGCCCATCTCAGAGCAAATTCAGCCTGACAGCCCATCTGCAACCCGACCCGCCCCCACTGCTGAAACAAAGACCGTGCCTTACTGTAACTCTCCCCCTCCAGCTAGCGCGCCGTTTGACCACGCAAAGCCACCCTGCTCCTCTCCTTCCAAGCCAGCTAGCATCCCCCTTTCTCCACCCGAAGCCCCATGTTTGCCGTCCTCCACCTCGGCACCTCCTGTGACCCAATGCCAGCCCCCCCCAACAACCCCAAACACAACGGTTGTCGGCTCTTCTCTGGCTTCAAATGCACCGACATGCCCCAAGCAAATCCCTACAGCAAACCCAGCACCGTCCTTTTCCTCGACCGGCTCAACGTCCACCCCAACTGACCCCGTCACGCATCCCGTCACCCCTCCAAACATCACGCACGAGCAGACGTCGAGCGTGTCGAACGCCTCGTCTCCCTCCCCCCCAACGCCCTGCACATTCGTGACTCAGACCGCCCTGTCCTGTACTTCCATATCGTATTACACCACCACACATCCGGCCTGTCCCCACGTGCCCCATTTGAATTCAACGTCCCCCTCTTATGCCACCATCATACAAACCGTGTCCCACTGTAACATCCCGTGTCAAGCTCTGCAAAGCAACTCCCCCGTCAGCACAGGCATAACCCCTTACTCCTCCCCAGTCCCGAAGCTAAAAACTTGCACTTCTCCGCCCCCTCTCGTAAAAACCTACGTGTCAACTCTTCAGGGCGCGCCAACTTGTCCGACACCAACTAAAGCTGTTCCTCTGTACTCGTCGACATTTCGTGCAGCGCCCCCGTACACCCCCCCTTCTCAGGCCCCCTACAATGCTCAGGACAAGAGGGGCATTCGACTCCCACCTCCCCCTCCGCCGCCTCCACCTTACACACCGAGGAAAAAGGGAAGCGAGCCACAGGGTAAAGCAGTCCGAACACCCATGCTCAGGGCGGAGAGCAAGGCCGGCGAGAAGGATAAAGATAAAGAGCGGGAAAAGGAGAAGAAGGAGGATATGAAACGCAAAGACTCGCCCAGGCTCTGTGAGAGAGCCAGCTCTCTGAAGCACAGAGCTCAAACCCCGCCAGTTGCTGTGATGAAAGGGGAGAGGCGCTCCTCGGCTTCCTCCCCTGCCAAGGCCTGTTTCAAGCCCAGCTGTCTCAGTTCGGCCCAGGCTCAGCTTGGGGTGCTCCACAAAATGCTCTGCTCGGGAGCCAACGCTAGGCCCAACACGCCCAACAGCCAACACACTCTTCCTCAAAACCAGCAGGGTTGTTCGGGGGCCAGGGGCTGCTCTGCGTCCGGGGATCGGCCCACGGCCGGGCCTCTGACTCCCACCCAGGCCGACACTCTGAGGCAGGTCCAGGAGATCCTGGGAGGGTTGATGTCCGGGGCCAGGTGCAAACTGGACCCGTCGAGGGTGACCGAGAAGCTCCTGAGCCCCAACGGACCCCTGCACGACATACGTAGCCTGCAGAACCAGCTCCACAGCCTGGAGGGGGTCCTGGAGACCAGCCAGAACACCATTAAGGTCCTGCTGGATGTCATTCAAGACCTTGAGAAGAAGGAAGCAGAGAGAGATGGGTGAGTGGCACAGACGTTTTTAATCAAGTGGTGTGAGTCTGACTACTTCTGGGTCAGCTCATTCAACTTCTGAGTGGAAAGTAAACCCAGAAGTTTAATTTTGGGTGATTTTCTGGAGGGAATGGGAATAAGATCCGGGAATGGAGAGCTGTTCTTGTTACCAATAGAGTTTGAATATTATAGATTGGGGTCAAATCAGGAGTTTTGAAGGAGGCTTGTGGGTCCAAATGATTGGACCCAAACAAGAACCAAGCAGTAAGTAAAATACTGAGGTCAGCCAGGTTGTAAATTGGTCTTACAAGGCCTATAAACCCATGGGCCAAGAGCCATCGTTATCATTCAGTGATCCCTTGGCTGTTTAGAGTAAAGGGGGAAAAAAGCAGGTAAAGAACAACCAATCCTGGGACAACGTAAATGATGAGAAACTCCTTTTTTTTGGAGACTCGGAAGGCAAATGTCAGCATGCAGCCTAAGTGCATGCAGTTTTATTTGAAGACAGTTCATTTTTATACCAAGGATCTGGTTCAGTTCACAGAAACAAATGAGGGGCAGACGTGATATTATGGCTGCGGCTTGGCACTAAAAGATCGTCTCCTCTCTCCTGGAATAGAGTGGACAAGTGGGATGCTGTAGGCAGATTATTCTTCACCAAAAAAGAAATATCCACAGCCCGGCGGTAATAACCTTCCTTGCGTCGTGTGCTTGGAATATTACAGATAGATGGTTGTTGTGCGTAAGCTTTACTGTTGTGCTGCCTCTCTATTTATAGCCAATCCTGGTATTGTAAGCCTTGTAAATACAAAGCTATGTGGACAGAATGAAATGGAAATTGAGTTGACAAAAAAAAAAAGGGGGAAAAAATGTAATGGAGTTAAAATGAGAAAGCAAAAGCAATACATTTGCAGAAACAGATGGCTGAAAGATGGAAATAGAAAAAAGCAATGCCGAGCACCAATGTAGTTATTTCCATAAAGTCTCATATCAGTCACGCACGTCTCAAACCGGCAATACGCTACAGAATTTATGTCACATCAGACCACGGGGGGCCGGTCGGGACTCGGTCTCATGTGTGTGACATGCAGGGGACTGATGGGAATCGGCGTTTGGCTGCTGCCATGTTGGTGGTTTCAGATGTTCCATGCCTCTTAGTGTAAACCCTTTACCGAAGCCATCATTCTTTAATTAATCTGCTTCCTACGTGGTAAGCTTCTTAGTAATTTCCCTCGTCTTATCGCACCGAAATAGTACATACATGATGAGGGGATGAGGAAATCTTGGATGGGGAGCGATATGCGCGGATGGATGTGTGCCCGTGAATCCGAAAACAGGCCCGACAGATATCTGTGCGGCGTTAGGTAACGATCTTTCGGGATAGGCGCGAACACGTGACCGTGTGGCCTTCTGTCTCGCGTGTTCAGTTTGGGAGTCCCACCGTTCGGTCTCACGCTCGGAGACTCGACTTTAACCTCATAAGCATTATTTTACGCCTGGAGTGACACAGTGAGTCATGCTTTACGTAACCCACAGAGCCTGTTGGGGGCGGGATGGGGGGGCTTGGGTGTGTGTGTTGGGGATAGGGGGGGTCATTAAAAAATGATCGCAGGGGGGGTTTCAGGGATCTGTTACCCGGAAATTCTTCCCCGACTCAGGAATGTGACTACATCTTGTTAGATTTGGTTCTTTAGTTGGAAGCCTGAGAATAAACCAGAGTAGATCAAGAGTACAAATAGGACATTTATTGGTCACAAGCAGAGTAAATCAGTACTGGGCTCTAACAGACAAAAGTTCCCGGAGGATCTCAGTTAGCAAAGAGCCTCGATTTCCGGGTGTGATGGACAGTTTTCCTCTGGGCCTCCAACAGGAGGACGGCTGGACGTAACCGAGTGTTATTGGCCAGTTAGCTCTGACATGAAGAGGCCAGTTCCTAATTCATGCAGGTTTCGGTGAAATATGATAAGAAAGTGTGAATGTTGACCTTAAAGACGAGTTTCTACTGTAACAGAGAGAGGAGGAGGAGGCACAGCCAGAGAGTTTAACCCAAAGGTATCATTATAAATGGAATAATATAAATCTAAAAAAGGAATAATACAATCACTTATTTACATGGATTAAGTTGTAGCATGCTATGCTAAAGTGAGTAATTATAGCTCAATTCTAACAATCTTTTTCGGCTAGTTCTAAGGGCGAACACACACACACAAACACACACACACACACACACACACACACAAGGAGGCCCTTGTACCCCTGATATGTCATCTCACGGCTTCTCCACAGAAGACATTCCTACCGGACCGGACAGGACATTGAGAACTGTGGCACCTGCAGGGACTGTGCCTGCATCATCTACAGGTACGTGAGTGTCAATTCCTGCATGTTCCTCGCCTGTTTTTTGGTGTTTTTTTTCCCCTTCCTCCTCCTCCTCTTCCCCCACGTGATCCCTGAGAGCTCGGAGCTTTTTTTTTTTTTTTTTTCTCGGTGCGCAGTTGTGTGTGCATCGCGCTGTCAAGTCGCATCTTGTCAGCTGTGGAGGTTTTTTTGGTTTTTTATGGTTGTCACTCTGCTCCGTGTGACGGCCGGATGCAGCACTAAATACCGCTCTGTGTTTGATTGCGGAACGCGGTTATTAAAGATGTATTAAGACTTATCACGCACATCCTCTTGCTCTCAGATTTAATGAGGTGAACAACAGCACAGATGTACGATCCGCACACACACACACACACACACATACATACACACACACACATCCAGTCACACACACTTCTCTCTAAGTCATTGTGCTCTGAGATTCCCTCTGAAATCAGTCATTAAACAGACGTTCGGGGTGAAAAAGGGTCAAACAAGAGGGTAGATCGCTCTGAAAATAAATCCTCCTTGTAAATGTTGAAACTAAAAATAAATCCTGTAAGAAATTGAGTGGATATGTAAAAAAGTGAGCGGATCGGAGGGACGCCATTAAAGCGCCACGCCGATGATTAAAAGTTTAGCGTAAACAACCTCGGAGGCTTTATCTTATTGTGACAAAAATCTATGAAAGCGTGACTCAATTAAGGAGCCGAGATCCATCATCCGTCTTTAAAACGTGGAGTGGAGCTGAGCTCTTCAGGCTGATTGTCAGCCCTTTCTGTCATTTATAATTCATGGTATCGGGCCCGCTAATAAGGTGTATCCAGCACCTATTCAACCCCATTAGGATCAAACAATATCATAGCCGAGGTCCGGCCACTCTAAACTGAATAAATACCACCTTAATCTGTTTACGCTCGGCCAATTATTTACGCGGTGCATGCAAACCTCCTCGAGGTTTGGATGGAGGATTAAAAAAAAATCTAATGAAAAAAAATGAAAATGGGATCTGAGAGAAAAGATCTGAGATCCAGAAATGGAAGGAGAAAAAGGAGAAAGCAGAGGGAGAAGAGGCCCGTGAAGAAGATGATTCATTCAGAAGCTAAATGCTGCTTCACACTGAGAGATTAGAGCATTACCGCTCAGGAATGTCACCGCCAAGCAGCCGTGCCTCCTCATCTCAGGGTCAGGGAAACGGGAGTTATTCCTGTGCGCTTCTCCGTATCGTCGGGTTTTTTTCTCCCGGTCGGAAACATTTGGCTTAACATCACAACTCCCAGATTTACGGTCAAAGGGGGACTTATCACTCAATCATCCGTCAAAGGCGACAGGTTCCTTCAGGAGGGGATTTTCCTGCTCCGAACCCCAAAGATGAGCCCGGTGTGAAGAGAGAAAAAAAAAGAAAAAAAAAGACGAGATAAAGTCGAGTGTAAATGCCTGAGTGATAGAAAAGCCTCAGAATCTGACAGGGCAGATTCCGTCCATTAAAATGCTGCTTGAAATCCCGGTCCTGGCAGAAAAAGCACAGCTCAGCACGCCGCACGCCGTCCATCTCCTCGGGAGATATGCACGGATATATATTTAAATAATTTGCAAATGTGGTCGTATTCGACCACTGAACCTCGGACGGATCTGACCTTTGAACCTCCAACGCACCAGAGATTTACCGAGGTCAGATCAGCTATGAGGCAGCAGGATTTATGGAGGCTTTAAACCCCCCGATCGCACTCTTTTTCCCTCATTTTATATTTGCAAGCATGCAAAGCTGCTTTCCTTCGGCCCTTTGATCGGCGTATTTCCACCTATTGTTAACCCTTTAAAGTCCGATCCAAGAATAAAACAAAAAAGAAAATTACTTTTATTTGGTTTGAATTCCTTATTTGGCCTTTTAACCAAATATGTAAAAAGAAAAAACAGAAATACATTTTTTATATTATTCATTTAATACTATGCGATAAGTCCAGATTACATTTTGTGTAGTCTTCTGCCCCCTGTTATCAGGTGTATCTGATTGTGTACAATAGGATTTTAAGCAAAGTTTTTACCATTAAATTATGAAAAAGGTGTCAGACGCAAAACATTTCAGAAACCGTATGAATCAAACATGATACATTTGGCATTACAGGGTTAAAAAAAACACAAGACGTACACTAAAAAGGTCCCATTACGACGGAAAAACAGGGTAAAATCTGGGTCCGAATTGAGAAGAATCAATGCTCCATTAATTCTAAATGGTGGAGGCCCGATCCGTTCAGCTTCTGTTTGTTCTGTAATTGATTTACTCTGCTACAAGGACTCCAGCGAGGTGAAAATATGAGAGGGGCTAAACAACCAATCCAGCGTTGGCCATCTGGACTCGCTGCCCGACTCCCACAGAAATCACATTCAGAAAATCATCGTTTGTTTCTGTGACCTGAACCAGAGCCTCTGAATGAAAACAAACTGTCTCAATAAAAAAAAAACCTCGGTCACCTGCTGACATTTGCTTTCCGAGTCTCTAAAAACTCTCACGATTGACATTTTTCCACTGTTTTTTTTTTTGTTTTTTTTTACCTTTCCCCCCTTTCTTTTTGTAAGCTATAGAACATGGGGAATACCCACTGGTAAAGATGACCAGATGGCCAGAACCCAGGTTTTATAACCCTGTTGGCCTGAGTCTTTCAGCCATTTTGCAATTACTACTCCAAATGTGGGATATCTCCCATCTTTGCTGTGAGGATCTTCAAACCCCATTTGGAATTGAACAATCGCCTTTCAAAACTCTAAAAATTCAGCCTTGGGTTATGATGCTTTTTCCCCCCTGTGGAAATCCCCCCTTTGGGCATATGATGCAAACCCCGGAGTTCACAGCCTGTTTAAGATGACGCAACTCGAGCTAATTAATAAGAAATTCAATCTGTGGACTCACACTCACAAACAGGAAAGATGTCTTTGATAGAGTGGACAATCCGGGAAGACATTTCTGGGTATTTAATTCCCAGAGAAAGCATCCAGAGAGCTTCTCGCTCAGTTTAAGTACCTGTGACCCCAATTTAATCACATATTTAAAAGCATGTTGGAGAGAGAGCAAGACAAAAATGTCCACTTTTTTTTTTTTCAGAGAGACAGTGAACTAATCCCCAAACACAGAAATTCAGTGTGAAACGCAGACAAATGGATCCAGTGTTCGAGCACGTCTCCGCTTTGTTCTCCAGTTACTCGTTTTTCAGGGCAAAGCTTATATAAAAATGCTAATGACACTTTGAGCATGCAAACACAGACGCTGGTGACTACTGTGTGCAACATTTGAACATTTAGCATCCATGCGAAAATGATAAATAAGAGCTTGGTTTGTTCTGCTTCTCGGGTCCTGAGATCAAGGCAGGACGCATCTGATGTTTGTTAGCCCAATTCTTTTGTTTGAAACCTGAGAATAAACCAGAGTAGACCACAGTTAAGTGTATCATCTGGGCTCTAACAGACTAAAACCTCTCTCTGGGTCTCAGTGGGCAAAGAGCCCTGAGATCTGGGTGATGGGCATTATCTCCTGGGCTGGATCCGCCTCCTCAAAGGAGGACTGGACACAACCAAGTCCTATTGGCCAGTTACCTCTGGGCACGAACAGGCCAGGTCCTAATTCATGCAGATGACAGGAATGTGGTAACAAATGGTGTGTGTGTTTGTGTTGACCTAAAGGTGGATCTAATAGAACAGAGACAGAAAAAGAGAGAAAAGGAGGCAGACTTCAACACAAAATATAGTCATAAAAGAGAATAAATAAAAGAAAATAAATAACAAATAAAATAATAATAAATAATGAAGACATTACGAAATAATGAATAAAAGAAAATAGTCATAAAATAAAATAAAATAAATAAAAGAAAATAAATAATGAATAAAATGATAAATATTTAAGAAATTAATAAATAATAAATAAAAATAAATAGTCATCAAAGAAAATAAAAAAATTCAGTAATATACATAGATCATGTGTTAGCATACAATGCTAAAGTGAGTAATTATAGCAAAAATTCTAACATGTTATTTATCCTGTAAGGGCCGTAAATTAGCATCACGTTAGCGCGCGGATCCGAACGTGCAGCCGGGCCGGTGCGTTAATTAGTGAGTGGAGTTTGGGATCTTTGCTCCGCGTTGTTCTTCTCATGAATAACAAATGCGTTGTGCGGAGCAGAGTGCGGAGGTCTAACGAGGGGCTGTTGTGCTTAATCCCTGCAGAGACGGCAGCCCAATCAAATCTGGGTTCGGCTGCTCTGTCTGTCGCTCCCTCACACAGAAGTTCAACCGGCTGCCACTCTGGATGGATTAATCACTCTCTTGACCATATGTTTCCAGCTAAACCTAAGTCCGTGTTAGAATTTGGTTATAATTCACTCACTTTAGCATAGTATGCTATAACATGATCTATGTAGATTACTGATTGTTGTATTCCTTATAGAACCATAACTTTGTGTTAAAGTCTCTGGCTGTGTCCACACACTCTGATTTCTTTCTCTGATTGTGTTAGATCCAAAACATTTGTTATCACATTCCATCAGGTTTACCACATTTAAAGGTTATCTGCATTAATTAGGACCTGGCCTTTTCATGTCAGGGTTAGAGTTAGTAAGTAACTGGCCAATAAGCATGTGTACGCTATCACATGATCTATGTCAATTACGGATTGTTTTATTTTCTTTTATAACTATATTTTTGTGTTAAAGTCTCTGGCTGTGTCCACAGACTCTTCTTTTATCTCTTTTCCTTTTTCTGCTGCATTAGATCCACATCTTTAATTCAACACAAACACACACACACACCATTTGTTATTACATTCCTGTCATCTGCATGAATTAGGACCTGGCCTGTTCATGCCCAGAGGTAACTGGCCAATAGGACTTGGTTGTGTCCAGTCCTCCTTTGAGGAGGCGGATGGAGCCCAGGAGATAATGCCCATCACCCAGATCTCAGGGCTCTTTGCCCGCTGAGACCCAGAGAGAGGTTTTTGTCTGTCAGAGCCCAGCTGATACACTTGACTGTGTCCAATAAATGTTATTTTTTTATACTTTTGATCCACTCTGGTTTATTCTCAGGTTTCCAACTAAAGAATCGGGTTAATATCTGCTAAGGTCCTCCCCCTCTCTTCCCTCCAAACACAATCCCTTGTCCCCTCATGCTGAGAAAACCCTCTTGTTGTCTTCCTCTTCCCGGTCAGAATCCGTCTGTCTGCGGCCTAATGGCCTCTCGATTCCTTCTTGTGCTTTTCC